GAATTTTTATAACTGATTTCTGGCCTCGCTATAATGTGAGTGCAAAATCCCAAGAAAATCTGAGCCTCGAACTTCAAGGACTTGTCAGAATACAACGCCATAGCATGATGCGAAAACAGAGAAACGAAATTTTCAACGCCAAAATGGCATTAATCTATGATCAGGCACTTTCTCCCCCGGATAATGAAATCTGTCTACAATAAACAATTTTAGAGAGCTGAAGAGTCAATTTTAGGGCGAGGAAAATTTCCGCACCTCACAACTTTCTGCGCAATTTCCGAAAAAGGAGGATTTTTTATCAGTGTGTCGGGAAAATAATGTGCACAATGTCGCATTCAAAATCGCGAGAAAATGAATTGTGTCGCGGAAAAATCGAAGAAATTATGCTCATTATTTTCCCGACAGGCTGATGCAATCGATAAGAAAAGAAATAATAAATCATCAATATGGTTTGCAAAGAAACCACGTTTTTCCCCCCAACGTATCATCCAAAACATTCGAAATGCAATTACCCTAAAGGCGACCTCCCGAAGCTGGCCGAGGCACATGTTTAAAATTGGATAATTTGTTTTGGGATTTCACAAAAACGTGAGCAAATACTGTGGGAAAAATGATCAAAAAAAAAAAGGAATTCAGACGAAGTGAGACGTTCGAAAACGCTACGGCTAAAAATACCCTGATAAGCGACAAATTGCAGACCAGTCAAAACCGCAACTCCGGCCATTTTTTTGCAAAAATTAACTTTTCTTTGAGGGTTTAGAGGGAAAAAAGTAACTCAATAACCAACAAAAATGTAATGACTGGGATCATCTTCCGAAACTTCGAGCGGTTTAGGAAAAAAATGAATTGGAAAAGAAGGTAAAAATTGGACTCAACGTGTAGCGGAGATATTCAACAATCTTTTTCCGAAAGAGTACGCATGATGCGGAGATGTAATATTTTGGGAATATCTTTGCTAATTTTGCATCGCTAGCCGATTTTTGTTGTGAAAACGTTGAGATCACCTGTTCGAATAGACCTGAGATACGGTAAAAATAGCTGTGAAACTTTTTACGCCAGGATTTTCAGTGTCATATCTTTTATCAAAAGTGCCATATCTTTGCCAACTTTCGACCTAATAATCTCGTTTTTTTTTTGCAAAACGCTCACTATGGGTCCCGTATATCTTCAACATTTTATCGGAATTTGTGAGAAATTTCATCAAAATCTGAGTGTCGCACTTGGAGTACTTCTCCTGTTAGTAAACCGGTTAATTCTCGGGCCAAGTTTCATCAAAATCTGCGTATCAGACATTGAACACCTCGACTCCAAGTTTACTCGGCAAACTTCTCAATTTTTCAGCGTTGCAGACGCCAATTAGGAACAATTTTTTCTCGAAAAAAGCATGCGACATTCGTTGTAACAAAGAGACATGTCCTCACCAACATATGACTAAAAACAAATGCTAAAAAATTAGGTTAAGGTCCCTTCTTTGTTCCACAATTCTCTCCACGGGCAAAGTACTGGCCAGGAATCCGCAGGAAAGTGCGATTCCGCAGGGCTGCAAAGATCCCAGAAAAATTTTTCGGTTGAAAGCGGGCGATGATGGCAAAACGGAGGAATCTCCGAGCCTTCATTAAAGTTACTTGAGTTCATTGGGCTCTTCTCTTGGCCCACACCAAGGGAAAACTCATTTGGCCCAAAGGGTAATTGGGACGAGAGTGGAACAAGGTGATAAACCAATAATTTGATGGCTTCAATGGGAGTTAATCATGGCGTCGGCGGCGAGAATGGGCTTGTTTTTAGTGGGAGGTTTTATGGATGAGGTAGTGGTTGGCAATTTGATGGCGATAAATCAATAAGCGGATTTTTTCACTTGAAATATATATAATTTATGGCTAGAGGATCCTGTCGCTCTGCAGTTTCTGAAAAAGAGGTCCTTTTTATCAGTCTGTCTAGAAAATAATGAGTAAAAATGCTGCGAAAATGCCGTCGCTGAAGTGAAAAGCAATTTGATTTTCCCGCGACACAATTTGTAATATTTTCTCGGCGACGGTGCAAGTTTGAATGCGGCAACGTGTTCATTATTTTTCCGACAGCGTGACGATTTCATATCGTATACGTCGATTGGAGCGTTACGGATAAATCGAGTATCTTTGGTTTTATCCGAGCATGCTTCATCATCATTGCGCTCTAGCTAGAATTTACCGGGCTAATGAAGCATCACTCAGCTTCAGGACGCATCTATTGGGTTTGAACAGGTCACAAAATTTTCCAATACACCTCAATATAAACTTATAACGCAACAAAAACATTCTTTTGATATCGACTTTCTAGAACTGTTTCTTTCAATCGTCAAGAGAGGGCAAGACACAAAACATCGATCAAGCCGACAGCATCGCTTTCAAGATCCCAAACTGCACCTACTCGATCAAAGATCCGGGGTTCTCTGAGGCCTGTGCTATCTATACAACCAAAATTTTCAACGCGAAAAAATGAATCTAAAGCCGTATTTTATGAAATACAATATACCGCAAAACAATCCGCCGGAAAATGGTCAACAACCTGCGAAATGAGACGCACAACGGCCTGAAGGTGTGTTGAAAAGAAACAAAAAAAAACTTGATTACATATGGCACTGACATAAAAAGTATCAATCATGTTGTCTCCGGCCGAAAAAACGAGCAGATGTATCAAGGTGGATCGGCTCGGGAATAAAAACCTGACGCTATACCCGTCCTTTTTCTTGCTGTCATCAAGTTTGAGAAAGAAAAAAAAATATATTCTTTCAATGTTCTGAGGAGAAGGAAATATCAGATGGACTTGTCTATAAAGAACACAGGTCCGTCGGGTGATTTGGCATGTTACGTCTACAAATGACGTCAGGAAGTGTCCGATCACGGTGACAAATTGAGGACGAAATCAGGGAACGATAACAAGGAAACAAAATAAGCCAATATTTTCATTTCATTTGGCTCAAATCTCGGGGGTATGCCACGTTCCAAATCCTGAAAATTTTAGCCTGCGTTTTGTTGGAGTAATTGAGATATTCAACATTCACTGAGCCGAACATATCGCTTTTTTTGTAGAAAATGGCCCATACAGTAAAAATACAGCATAATTTTTTATATACATAACACCATGACGTTCAAATACAGCGTAATACCACGACGTACAGACAATGATAATGATTTTCGGGAAAAAAATTGCCAAAAATTGCATAGCCAGGTCTGAAAATCCACAGTAACCACAGTCTTGGTCGCGGAAGCGTGGGCTTAGTATGAAAAAATAGCTCGAGCCACACACTATTTTTCTAGCGTATTACCCGCCCAAATCCGCCACGACAAAAGTGTCAATGATATTACTGAAGTTAGGGTACGTTTTCAGGACATTATTACGCACATACAGGATCAAAACGCGTCGCATTCTGGCCATCTCCCCTGTTAAAAAGTTTCTGTCCAAAAAGATTTCAACAAGCCCTTGAAACGACAATATTGGCTGCCCCAGATCCACAGTCAATTTATATACTGCAAGAAGTTAATCAGCAGCGTTTGAAGTGCCGCTAAAGCATAAATATTGCTCTTTCTGATCCGACCAATTAATAAGGCATCGCTGACTGACTATTCGGCATTTCTCTTTGTCTAGTCATTTCCGGGAAGTTTGCAACAGTATGTATAATTTATGGAGCCTACTTTGTGTACTAGTCGTTCCGGAATGTTGCCGAAGTGGTTTTTGACGTCTGCACTTTGCAAAAGGGCAGGTGCGAGCGACGGCCGAAAAAAGGATGTTGCGCGTTGCAAAAAGCAAGAAATATCACTGCATACATGTAAAATGTTTCTAACGGTGCGTGCCGCCGATTTCAACCTTGCGACTTTCTGGAAGGACTAGTATTAACCTAAAAACCCAAGAATTTTTGAAAGTATTTTTATTGTACTTTGAACACAATGGGACCATAATCTTAATCACTGGTCAAAGAGTTGCCTCGAGCTCTTTCGTTTTTTGCCGAAGACATCAAAACAAATTTTGCTCAAAATTTTGCACGGAGCAAAAGCAGATAAAGCGTTGCAGGATTACGACAGGCATTGTAAATTCATAAAACCCCTATCGCAACAATTCAAATGAATTTCGTAGACAGCATGGGGAAACATGACCGTAAAGATAAGGAATCGTCGAAAAACTTCGCCGTTTATAAGCGGCTAGCAAAAAAGTACAAAGCAGCCCATTGCCACTCACATTGGCGACATGTTCAACAATGTTTTTCCGTACACAAAGTGTGAAGAGTCTGTATGACAAAACAATATTTTTTGACTGTTTTTTCGCGGGCTATGTCCTACAAAATAAGTATTTTTTGTAGAGCGGATATTGCTTTCATCTTGACGTCTAGTATTGAAAGAAAATTTTATTTTTCCAATTCCAGATCATCACACAGCCTAAAACAATGTCCTTGGCCTGCGCTGGAGTGAATTATTTGTCGGAGTTCTTTGAGGAACGGGAATTCGAAAGCTCCAGGAAGAACAGTGTGGCCAGTACTTCAAGTTCAAGCAGTTCTTGCGACTCTCTTCGACGAAATGGATAAATCGTTCAAAAGAAACCCAAAAAATCAACGAACGAAAAAAGATCCAAGAAAATCTCTAATATTCTTTCAACTGTAACCTTAATTTCTATTTATAAATGTAATTATTTGCATTGATACTAAAGAATTAGTTTCTAACAAGGGACGGACATTGAACGCTATTTTCTAGCGAGCATATGTATGTAAACCAGAGCGCTAACACGAATATTCTGTGCTTCTGTAGCTGCACTTTCTTCGACGTGCAATCTGAACAATATAAAATTGTATTACACTTGAGCCACACTTCCCCCACTTGGTATATTTAACGCATTTCGCATTCGGAACAGAACAACTTCGATATTAAATTAGCGGCTACAAAATTATTTACTACGAGACAAACGAGATTACCTGGAATCAGCGTTTTACTGCCTACGGCTTGTTTTGAGTCAAAACAACAAACGTCTTTACAATGAAGGCGCTTTCCGGCGTTGACTTAAACGCCGTGCTCTTCTATTTTTCCATTATTGAGTTGGTTGTTGCCGTCCTGACGGCAGTCCTGAACATGTATTTCACAGTGCGAATTAGTCAGTTGTCAACGATCAGCCCGAACTTGAGGACAATCATGGTGAGTGTTAGTTTGAATTTGTTGATTGCAAGCCCCCACAAAGGGTGGAACCGAAATGAAACGCTGTCAACTTGTTGCTTAAAAGACGATTTTTGGCTGGCTGCGTCAGCGGTGGACATAGGAAAAAATCGATTTTGAGTTTTTTGCATAGAAATGACCGTCGGCATGTTCTAGGGAAAAGCGAACAACAAAATATGTTACAGTAATCTGAAAGGCTTAATTTTCAAAAAAAAATGAATTCCCAATGGTCGAAAACGTATACAAACAAAATTTTGGGTGATTTGCTCTTTCTATGACGTCACCAGGTCGAAAATTCCAAAAAAGACAAACTTAAGCAAATTTATGCCCTCCGGGCAAAACTGAGAAAAACTGTTGTTCGCTTTTCCTTCGCACATGTCGACGGTCATTTTTATGAAAAAACATGAAATTCGGGTTTTTAAATTAAAAAAATTTAAACTAATTGTTCCTTTTCAAAATGAATGATATTGCTTGATTGTTTGTTGTTAGATTCTGACACACTTTCTCCCAGTGCAAGCGCAGGATATCATGCGTTGGCACAAAAATTGTCGCACAATGGAATTTTGACTTCATAAGAAAGGAAGTCGGTTTTTTCAGCCTGCCAAACCTGAATTTGGGCTTACGCAACGGAAATGATCCATTGCCAAAAAACGTAACCATTTTCTATCCGGGAAGTGTCAAAAAATGTAGTAAAATGCCTCTTTCCAACTAAAAAGACTCCGTTTTGAAGGGGGCGCCCTTCAAAACGGTCCGCCACTGTAGCCTTTTTGACTTCTTTTGAGCGACTTTTCTAGACTTGAATTTAAACTTGAACTTGAACCGAAGGTTTTCAAAACACCGAACTTGAACTAGCTTATGATCTTATATGAAAAACAATTTGATTTTGCCGCGACGCAATTCATTTCCCGGCGATGATGTGATTTTCGATGCGACAAGTGCACAAAATTTTTTCCCGACAGACTGATAAAATTAGCCCACTTTGCAGACAATCCAAACAATAGTGGCGTCAGTACTGCCATTCCTTCACTTCACCGCAACTCAAATGCCCGAAACTCTCTACAGTTTCGAGAATGGAAATTACATTACGGGAACAGTCTTTTACGCCGTCATGATATGCAATCAAATCATCGTGGTACTATTTGAAGGCAAATATCTGCTGATCGCATTGGAGAGATGTGTTGCTTACAACGCGCGAAAAGACTATGAGACTCGTGGTTCCCAACTGGCTTACAAATTGATGGGAATTACGGTAATTCCGAGATTCTTGTCGAAGATGTAAACTTGATTTCAGCTCTTCATTACGATTCCCGCACTGGTGTTGAAATGGACGATAATTTGGCAGATCTTTGAAGGCGCGCCGATAGATCTGCGGCTTCGAAAGACTTTTGTTTTGGACACGTATTTCAACGGGTTACTTCCAAATTATGTTGCAGTACTTGCGTTTGTTGTGGGGGCCGTTGCAGTAAGTTTCGATTAGGAACATCATTTGTTGGCGTTGTCACGCGCTGGGTTGGAACACGTGGATTGAGGGTCTTTATTCTAGCCTCTGTCTAAGGTCCCCATCCCTAATACATATATAGGATGCCGCGGGATACGATGAGCTGACTATACCGTACGGTAGAACACAGTAGACACAATAGAAATACAGTTTATTGACCAATCGAACAACCGCCACAGCGGAAAAAGGCACAGAAAGAATAATTCACACTCTCTTTCACACTCCCATTGACTGGAAGATTTCCATTCCTTTTATACCAACTTGTCGGTCATTCTGTGGGAAAATGCAAATTCGCGTGCGAAGTCGTGGCATCGGTTCCACAACGCTTACGAAGCTTACGAAGCATTGTGGAACTCACTCATTTGCTCGGGGACAGCATGTTATGACCGTTTATAGCAAATTCAAATGTTTTCACAATACTTCTATGGTGTTTGCTCAAAATAGTCAACATACGGCCCAAAAGGCCCGATTGTTCTCTATCTCCACCGTCGGGCAGGATGTTTAAATGCCGGGCCTGCCTTTGCAACCAAAATATCAGACTGTCGGTAAAATAATGTGGGTTTGTCAGGCCTTGAAGCCGCCCATCGTGGCATTGCCACGTCCAGCCGCAACTGGAGATGGGGTGACTGCGACAAGGCGAGACACTTTTCTTTGACAAATCCACATTATTTTCGCGACAGACTGATAAAACTTCCTGAGGTGTTACAATGATGATTCACAGTATCTTGTTTTCAGTGCTTTCTCTGGCTCAACAACAAAGTCTGCAATCACCACGCGTACGAGAGCTCATTATCCGAGCGCTACGAAATTCGCCAAACAAAGGCTGTTCTTCACTACGTCAGGAGCCTGATAATTTCCTTTTTAATTCTCACGTTTATTTGTGGATTGGGCGTGGTAAGCATGTTATACGGAAAGCACGTTTCCCATATGGACGATGACTGTGTAGAGTTCAAGATTATCTACACTGTAAGTCGCGTAATTTTATGTAGATTCGCTCTGACAGTTTGATGTTTTATGCTCTTTTAGTTTCTCTATATTTGCCTGTCGATTTACAACTTTACCTCAATGTTGTTTATGATTAGTGCCTTTCCTCGGCTGCAAAACGTCATCTTCAAGGACTTCCCTTTCCTTTATGGACGGCCCTCTGTCATCAACTCTCCCATGAAGCGCGACCACGTTGCAACGTCCCAAACGTACTTTCAACAGCTGAAAGATGCATGGGATATTAAGTAAACAGTTTTACATAAATTATGACAGGGGATGTACTCCAAGTGCGACGCTCACTTTTTTTAAGGAGTGTGGCACAAATTTAGACAAATTTCTTTGAGATATAGGACTCTTAGCTCGCGTTTTACAGAAACGGAGATTTTTAGACCGGAACTCGGTAAAAATGTGGCAAGTTTTTGAGGAGTCTGGGGATGAAAGGTACCATACTTTTTCTACCGTGTTTCCACAAAAAATTGAATTTTTCCGCGGGAAACTGGCAAAGGTACCCCCTAAAAGTTTTTTTCTCTGACCGCTCTCCGCGTTTTGCATTCTCTCCCGGGCCGCAAAAATCTTTGAATATCTCGACTGTGCCTATAAAACGCGAGGTAAAACCCTCAAGAATTGACATGTGGCGTGTGCCTTACTAAGTACAAATTTTAAAGAAAACTTGAGCGTCACACTTGAAATCTTTCCCTTGTAATATGTATATGTAAATACAAATAATGAGGGATTCGCAATAAAGTTATAATGATCTCTGTAATAATTTCTGCGACTGTAGCTGGAACGAAAGCATTGCCGTTTTGTAGTCATCTCAGGCTCTTCGTAAAAGTAGAGGAAGATATTATAACACCTCTTCAAGTGGTTCCCGGAAAGTCGTGGGCATTTCGATTTTACACCTGCAAAAATTCATAGAATGCAATGCTCTTTGAATATTAATCTTTACTTACGTTGAAACTTTGTTTCTTTTGTTATTATAAATACATTATGGGTTAACTTCATTTCTGAATAATTGTTTGAAGTTGACGTTTCTGTATAAGCAAATGCTATAGTGAAAAAAGCTGTTCAAGTTATTGTTGACATTTGGTAGAAAAAAACATGTTGTTTTCTTGCGAATGTTGACATCCAATGGCAAAAAACGTTTCCTTTTGCATCCCGGAAGGGACCAAAATGACTCGAAACCTTCCCTTCGCTAACAAGGGAAGTCACTTTTTTCGCAGACGGACTTCGGAACGGGACCTAGTAAATTTCAAACCTGAAGCGTCTGCGATCATACAACTGATTTCCAAAAGTGTTTACGGGGCTTCTCGGCCGAGAAAATCGACCGCAAAGTTTAGCCGGAATGAGCGACTAGCCTCCTCAAAAGAAACAGCTTATTTCATCTGCAGTGGTGGCCGAGTGGTCAGCGCGCTCGCTTTTTGCGCCAGAAGAGGCGGGTTCGATCCTCTGCGCAGTTTATTTTCTTTTTTGGTTCGTAAATATTGATTTAGTATGTAAACATAAAATGTATACACTTTTGTAATTTTTTACAGTAATTTAAAACGCGTTTTATTACAAATCGTAGTTTGGCCCGGACATTGTTAAAATCGGTGTCTCAGAATTCAACGAAACATGGTAGATTTAATCACTGCTAGGCGTAGAACATTCGCTTTCTTTAATTTTTCCCAAAATTACCATATGACGGATTACTGTAACTTTCTTCCTCAAAAAAGATGTGCCCTAATCGTGAAAACGAAGCTGTATTTTAGTGCAAATTGAGTTTAGGTGTATGTTTTCGACCATGTAGAACATTTTTGTAATTATCACCAAAAACTAAAAATTACATCTAAGCTATGTTACACTTGAGGCAACATACCATTTCGGCTGCAAAAAATGCAGTTTTGAGATGACGCAGATTTTGAAACCGGAATATTAAACTTCAAGCCTTGTCTAATAAACCATAAAAATTTCAGAAAAATCAAATGTATAGTTTTTGAGAAATTGGACATTGAATGACTCATGTGCAATATCACCTTGACCCGAAAAAAACTGGCATTCTAGGGGTTTTGACCTGACGCAGATTTTGAAAGTTTCCACTACATTTTTATCACATTTTAGGAGGATTTGGGAAGTTTCAGAGGAAAAAAATGTATAGTTTTTGAGAAATCGGCCAAAATACCTTGTTTTAGGTCATCAGATGCCCGAAAAAAACTGGCATTCTTGGGGTTTTGACCTGACGCAGATTTTGAAAGTTTCCAATACATTCTTAGCACATTCTAGGAGGATATGGAAAGTTTCAGAGGAAAAAAATGTATATTTTTTGAGAAATCGGCCAAAATACCTTGTTTTAGGTTATCAGATGCCCGAAAAAAACTGGCATTCTTGGGGTTTTGACCTGACGCAGATTTTGAAAGTTTCCACTACATTTTTATCACATTTTAGGAGGATTTGGAAAGTTTCAGAGGAAAAAAATGTATAGTTTTTGAGAAATCGGCCAAAATACCTTGTTTTAGGTCATCAGATGCCCGAAAAAAACTGGCATTCTTAGGTTTTTGGCTAGGCGCAGATTTTGAAAGTTTACAATACATTTTTATGACATTTCAGGAGGATATAGAAAGTTTCAGAGGAAAAAATGAATAGTTTTTGAGAAATCGACCAAAATACCTTGTTTTAGGTCATCAGAACACAGAATCGTAGCCATCGGCTTACATTTGACAAAAGTTTTGCAGAGAGCTCGAATTTATTAGTGACAATTTGGAGAAAAAAACAGTAACACGCATATATCTCGGAAAAAAAGAGATGCCGAAGAAAATTGGTCGAATTTTCCAGCAACTTGACCTATAACAGGTTCACCTTGGTCGATATCTCAAAAACTATTCACTGTTTTCCTCTGAAACTTTCTATATCCTCCTGGAATGTCATAAAAATGTATCGGAAACTTTGAAAATCTGCGCCTAGCCAAAAACCTAAGAATGCCAGATTTTTTCGGGCATCTGATGACCTAAAACAAGGTATTTTGGCCGATTTCTCAAAAACTATACATTTTTTTCCTCTGAAACTTTCCAAACCCTCCTAAAATGTGATAAAAATGTAGTGGAAACTTTCAAAATCTGCGTCAGGTCAAAACCCCAAGAATGCCAGTTTTTTCGGGCATCTGATGACCTAAAACAAGGTATTTTGGCCGATTTCTCAAAAACTATACATTTTTTTCCTCTGAAACTTTCCATATCCTCCTAGAATGTGCTAAGAATGTATTGGAAACTTTCAAAATCTGCGTCAGGTCAAAACCCCAAGAATGCCAGTTTTTTCGGGTCAAGGTGATATTGCACATGAGTCATTCAATGTCCAATTTCTCAAAAACTATACATTTAATTTTTCTGAAATTTTTATGGTTTATTAGACAAGGCTTGAAGTTTAATATTCCGGTTTCAAAATCTGCGTCACCTCAAAACTGCATTTTTTACACCCGAAATGGTATGTTGCCTCAAGTGTAACATAGCTTAGATGTAATTTTTAGTTTTTGGTGATAATTACAAAAATGTTCTACATGGTCGAAAACATACACCTAAACTCGATTTGCACTAAAACTGAGCTTCGTTTTCTCGATCAGGGCACATCTTTTTTGGGGAAGAAAGTTACAGTAATCCGTCATACGGTAATTTTGCGCAAAAACAAAGAAAGCGAATGTTCTATGTCTAGTGTTGATTAGATTGACCAAGTTTCGTTAAATTCTGAGACACCGATTTTAACAATGTCCGCCCCCTGTTAGGCTAAGCCCCAAAGTGTGGCAAAACGCGTTTTAAACATAAATCCAAAGCTGAATGTTCATGAATATTGTAAAGTCAAAACAGGGCTGGGTTAATGAAGATATAGTTCCTAAATTTGTGTTTTATTAAAAATTTCTAATAATTAGCATATGTGATGTTAACGGCATCTCTCTATTTGATTCAATGGCCAAAAGAAATGCATCCGCAGGCGACCGAAGTCGAACTCACGTCTTCTGGCGCAAAAAGCGAGCGCGCTGACCACTCGGCCACCACTGCAGATGAAGTAAGCCGTTTCTTTTGAGGAGGCTATTCGCTCATTTCGGCTAAACTTTGCGGTCGATTTTCTCGGCCGAGAAGCCCCGTAAACACTTTTGGAAACCAGTTTTATGATCGCAGACGCTTCACGTTTGAAACCTACTAGGTGCCGTTCCGAAGTCCGTCTGCAAAAAAAGTGACTTCCCTTGTAAGCTAAATAAAAAACTCCGCTTTGAAAAGCGCGCCCTTTCCTTCAAGGCGGGCTCTTTAAAGCGGGGTTTTTTAGTTTAGATAAGGGAAGCGTTTGGAGACATTTTGGTCCCTTCCGGGATGCAATATGAAGCGTTTTTTGCCATTGGATCCGGTCCCTCACTGTATTTGTCCAAAAAAGCATTTTTCCTTATGGCCGCTCTCCACGTTTTGTATTCTCACGGCCGAGAAGATCGTTGACTTTTTTGGGTCTGCCATTGGAAAGATTGAGCTCAAATTGTCATTTATGTATCTGTGAACTATATCCAATGCATTCGGAGAATTTAAACAAAATCTGACACTGGGGTTCTGGGTAAATTCAAATTTTTTTCGACCATGATGCTCGACCACGTTTTTTTGGCAAAATATTTTTTCTTCAGCATTTTTTTTCTGTACAAAGTACACAATAAGCAAAAAGTACGAGAGATGGGAATAGTTATTTCCATTGTACAGTTCAGGACATACAGGACACAGTCTTATATTGTCCTGAGCTCTGCAGTTGCAGGATATAAGATTAAATGTGGCCCAAACGCGTGGCCGAGCATCATGGCCGAAAAAGTCTGAATTTATCCGAAACCGCTCTTAAATTCATAATTTCAAAAAAGATTACTATCTTTACAGGATCGGTGTAATGCTAAACTTTGGTTGAATAAAAAAAGCATTGAGCTGTGTTTATTTCCACAAGGAGCCGTTTTTTTCACCTGTTGAGCGTTCTAGACGTAGTGCTTAGTTAATGCATTATAATTATAAATATAAACATGAATTGGCTCCTTCCTCGTTCTCATTGCGAACAGAGCTTGCAACGGAACTTTCTTCCAAAAATTTTTCGGTCATTAATTCGGTCAGCTAATTCTATTGACCCGCCAAAGTGCAATTTGTTCATTGAGGTTTAAATACCCACCCCACGGACCCTTGACGCGTTTTGTTGCAAAACCTAATAAGTGAAAATGAATTTGCGGCTCAAGTACGCGCCTACAATATAATGGGCTACAAACCGGCGAAGTTATTCCAAAGTCTATGAAATTCTCAGCTTCCCGCCGGACCAATGAATTGGCCCGTACCGCTCTCCAGTCGCGATGAGTGACAAACTTGACGCGGAAGCTTTCCTCTGCTATGTTTCCGCCTTGGAATTCGTGGTGGCCATCATCACGGCGATACTGAACATGTACTTTACATTGAGGATCAACCAGTTGTCAACGTTCAGTCCGAACTTGAGGACGATCCTTGTAAGTGTGCTGGGGTATTTAGCGGGGAGGACCCCAAGTGCAACGTTCAGACTTTATTCAAATTTTTTATGTTTCGGGAATATTCTATACAACAATTCCTGAAAATTTTAGCTCCCGCTTGCAGGGGCTGCCAATATATCCAGCAATTTTTGTTGCTGAGCGAGTACACGAAACGCGGAGAGCGGTCAGAGAGAAAAACTCTTTTACACCATCTCTTTGCTATTTTGGTGCTGAAAAAATTGATTTTTTGTGGAAACATGACTTTATATGGTAAAAATAAACAGAAAACTTATCATGCCAAAATTCTTAAAAAATGGCTCAGTTTTGCAGATTTAGGGTCTAAAAATCTCGGTCGTGTCTGTAAAGCGCCGGCTAGGAATTGTCAAAGAACAGCCGTACGTACCATTAGCTCTGCATTTCAGACAGTTGAAGCGATCCTGGCGTCAATCCTGCCGTTCTTACACTTGGCCACGTACCATATTCCGGAGCACCTGCACAGCTTCAAAGACGGAAATTATGTGTCGGGCGTCGCGTTCTATCTCTTGATGGCCCTGCATCAAGTTGTGATGGTCGTTTTCGAAAGCAAATACCTTCTAATTGCGCTGGAAAGATGGGTCGCGTACCTTGCCCGAAGAGATTATGAAAATCGCGGCTCAGAGTTGGCCTACAGATTGTTTCTGATCAATGTAAGTGGTTGGTGCGTTGAAAAACTTTCGTATTTATTTCCAGCTGCTGATAGGAGTTCCCATCTTGCTTTTTAAGTGGACCTCAATTTGGATGGTGTTTGATGGAGCGCCAATGGATTTGCGGCTTCGGCGGACGTTTGTCTTGGAGAACTACAACGACGGTTTGATTCCAAGCTATCTTGGAGGCTTTGTGCTCATTTTTTCGGCAATTGCGGTAAGAGTTAATCCATTATCCTTGGCTAAAAACTCTTGGTGACGTGTTTTTCGGGGTTCAAGCTACCATGCTATAAAATCATGAAATTTTGAAGGCAAAGGTGAAAGAATTGTGGTCTAGGGGGAAGTTGATTTGTTGTTTTTAATTTTTTGTACCTTCTTTACTTCCTCTTCAAAAACTGAGAGAAATATGAGGGGTCGAAGCTACATATAATATAAGTTTGACCTACAATTCGAGTTTTCTGCTAGCTACAATTGGCAGTATCAAGGTTTAGCTTGACGAAGGTTCATGTTTTGTATATATGCACGCTTTCCTCAAAGAGCTTGAAATCTCGGCATTAGTATGGGTTTCCTCCTTTTGCTGAACGAATCAAAAAAAATCTTATGGCGCTAAGAGCATCCATAACGGTTGAGAAGCAGGGCTACATCTCTTACGAAACACAAAACACAGGAAATATTGGTATTTTTTGGTCATTTCGGGAACGTCTTCCACCTTGATAAAAAATAAAACAATATCGGAAAACATCATGCGTCATTTTTTAACAGTATTAAAACAAAATTAGTCAGCATTTTTTTGTTCCGTTTGTGTGCACAAAAAACCATTAGTTTCCACAAGGAACGTACTGCAATAGTGAGGCAGAGACCTTTAGATCAAAAGCAAGGCAAAAATTTGGCGCTTTTTTGGCATGAAAAATAAAAAAAGTTTAAAAATTTATTCCTTGAGATGGTAGTGCTTTCACAAAAAATCAATTTCTTCAAACTGGCAAGGATATGGGCAAAAAGCGTTTTTTCTATGTGAGCACTCTTCCCATCCAAGCATTCTTTTGGCGGAAAAGTAAATTGAATAAAGACAGAAGTTGAAGAAAGTTGAATATATCGGATGCCGCTTGAAAGCGCGAGCTAAAACTTTGAGTAAATTATATGTGGCCTATGCTTCGACATGCACAAAATTTAAAGAAGACCTGGGCCTTGCACTTGGGGTAGCTCCTCTATTCAAATTTCCAGACACTGAATATCCCTCCTTTTCAGATTTTCCTCTGGCTAAACTCACAAGTCTCAAATTGTGAGACATACGCCAACTCACTGTCCGAAAGCTACGAAATTCGCCAAACCAAAGCCGTCCTGCACTACGTCAAGAGCCTGTTGGCTTCGTTTATCATCCTAATTTGTCTGTGTGGTGTCGGCTTGTCAACGATTGCATATTTGAAATCAGTGTCGCATCTGGACGACGACTCGGCAGAGTTCAAGATTGTCTTTACCGTAAGTCTTTATTCCCTTATTTGTACCCAAAATTCGCTCAGTTCCTCTACATGTGCCTGTCGGTCTACAATTTCATCGCAATGCTCTACATGATCAGAAGCTTTCCGCAATTGCAAACCGTCATCATCAAGGACTTCCCGTTCCTCGACAGTCGTGGAGTTGCAGTTCATCCGGCGGCGGAGTGCGATCACGCCGAAGCGGGGAGAATGTATTTCCAGCAGCTGAGGGATGCGTGGGATACAAAATGATTATAAGTGTATGACTATATGTATTTATTCGGGAAAACTTTTCCATACGAGTAACAACTGAGGTCCGCAATAATAATTACTTAACAGCAATTGATGATATGTATATATATTTAATACAGAAAAGGCAGCGTAGATACCAGTGGGTATCGTTTCATTAATTCATATTTACACTATGTACAAACAAGGCAGTAATTAGTAGGTCTAGTTCGTTTGCCAAGACTCTAATATGATTTTTGCGACCTGAACGGTCCGAAAAAAGTCAGTGGAGCGACAGCCCAAAAAAGTCATTTGCACGGTGCAAGAAGCGACAAATTGCACAGTGCAAACTGAACTTTTGTTTTTGCACAGTGCATGTCGCAAAAATTCACTTCAGCGACTCTACGAACGGACTAGTACACTACTAGTAAGTGTAATATATTGTATATCCTCTAGTAGAACTCGATATGAGTATCCTGACTCACGCCATACTTGGTCTTATGCGCTTCAAAGAGCGCTTCAAGCTTCTGTTTGTAGGTTTTGTGGAGTTCATCAATTTGCTCCCATGTGGGATGCTTCGTCTTTGTGACTGGTATGGGCTCTCCAACTGTAAAACAAAGGCTTTTAGAGGGCTTGGGGTTTCAGATTACGGTTAATATCAGTTTGTCGGGAAAGTATTGCGGATTCGTCGCGCCTTGGAATCGCCCATGATCGCTTTTTGACGATTAGCTTCGTCTGGAAATTTGATGCGGCGAGGCAAGAAATATCTCGCGAAAAGTCCACATTATTTTCCCGACAGACCGATAAGACGCCCCTTAGGGTCTTACTGAACGTAGTGTAATAGTCTGTCGGGAAAATAATGAGCAATCTCGCTGAAGTAAAAAAAATTGGTTTCACCGCGGCACGATTCATTTTCTTGACGGCGATTCGATTTTCGATGCGACAGAGTGCTCATTGTTTTCCCGACAGCCTGATAGAGGAGAAAAAAATACAAACTTACAGACAACATTGATCTCGGTCCTCAGCGGTATTACACCGGGAACAAATGGGATGATATTGGTTCCGTACGCCATGACCGGACTAATTCCCGTCATGTATTTTACCTTTGTCTGGATCGCTCTTATTAACGAGCCTTTGGGATTGGGGACCTGGCGGTATGTGTCGTTCTCTCCGAACGCAAACACGGGCACCAAATGCGCACCCGTCACCAGGGCCGCCCGACAGAACCCTCTTCGCCGATTGATACACAACTTGTAGGTCTTGGGATGGCATTCCATGGCCTCGTCGGCTCCGCCAATAATAACCGTCACTCCATTGCCTCCGCCGGGTCGGGAAAGCACTCTGGTCAGGGGTTTGAAAGAGACCGGGATCACTCCGAAAGCATTCATGATATGCCGTCGAAGGGGGAATTTGAAATGCCAGGTGAGGGTGGTGACGTAGCGGGTGATCCCCGGGAACTTGTCACGGAACCCAGCACCGTCTGTGCACATTACAGCAACAGCCGAGACACCGACAATTCCGTGGGGATGCCAGCTGAAAGTGAATTTTAATTGAGTTGGTTGTTGTAGGGTTGCTTTCGATGTTGTGTTAGGAAATTTTATGAACCGTCTGTCGGGAAAACAATGAGCAAAATTTTACTGCGCCGATGACGCGCTGAAGTTAAAAGAAATCTGCGACAGAATTCATTTTCTCAACGGCGATGCGATTTTCCATGCGACTGAGTGTTCATTATTTTTCCGACAGACTGATAATATGTATTTTCATAAAGTGCATGGAAATTATTTTTCTTTTGCACAGTGAATTGTGAGCTTTTTTCCCACGCTAGTCGCTAACGTATATCGATATTTCGATGCAGTGCAAAACCAAAAAAAAAGAAGATAACCCGTTTTTTTCACTTTCCCGACATGAAAACACTATTTAACATTCTCGCCAGCTCTTGCGCACGTCAATCTAGTGTAGCTGAGATTATTTTCTGACCAATATCAACGTAACGTTTGGTCATAAATAACATTTGGAGAAATATTTGAGACTGTTTTTGTATACAAATTGTCGATTACTGTAAGATCATTGAATTGCAAATTACAGAAGGTTAATAAAGGAATTGGGCAAAAATATTTCAGCATTATTTTTACCCTATATAGTCATCTTAAAATTAAAAACTCAAAATTGGTTTTTTACTAACATTGTACATATTTCCATGGCTGATCCAGTGACTCAGAAATCGTGTTTTAAAGTCTAATGTTTCAAGACATTCTTGGTAGTTTTTGAGACCATCTTAAACAAAAATGTCAGAAAACATTGATCTGTAAAATCTCTTCGTAAATTGACAGTGTCTGGACTAAACGTCCGAACTAGTCAGGAAGCGCGTCACATTGAGTAATTTTCTGTCGCATCAGATGATCCTAGTGGCCCCAAAACTTTGCAAAAACATGTTGTTTAGAGGTTAGAAACCGAACAGCGGAAGATTGTGTGAATTCCCTGATAAGAAGAGAATCAAAAAACAATTTTGCGCTCGAGAAATTAGGGGCGACGCCCACGCTTACCCAAACAAATAATTGTTCTTCGGCGACAACTCGGCGGTCTTCACAATCTTCAGCGGGAAATAGTCGGCAGTGTGGTCCCAAAACGGATGATTTCGCATCGCTTCCCATGGTGGATTCATGCTAGCTTCAGAATCGACGCCAACGAACGCCCAGACAAGGTAGAGCAGGGCCAGCCACCAGAACGAAGTGTAGAGGATGAGATAGGTCAAGGTGATTGGAACAACGAGTGTGAAGAATCCGAAGATGAAGAGGAAAAAGCAGATCTGCGAGGTCTCCAAGGTCCTTTTGAAGATTGATTTTTGGAATAGGATGGCGGACATTGTTCGCTGAAATTGACAATATAGGCCTGTGAAAAAAATTCTAATATGACTTTTAACTACAGTATACTCTTTTATTTGTAAGTATACTGTGGAAGGTTTCGGTCTGTCGGGAAAATAACGTGGATTCGCCGCGCCTTGAAATCGTCCATCATTGGTCCCTAACCGTGGCTGGAGATTTGGTACGAAACTGCGATGAGGCAAGACATTTCTTACGAAAAATTCACACCATTTTCCCGACAGACTGATTTATACAAAAAACAAGTCGTTTTACGGCTGAAACAAATTAGCCAAAAAACGAAAAATTCTTTTTCAATGGTATCAAAAGTCAGTTCAATCAACCTCCATACAATAAAACCCTTTAATAACGAGTATTTTCCGGACCACCGTTGTACACAGCGTTTTCAAAAATTAGGCAAAACTCATGTCTACAGAACACTAGGAGGGTCAAAAAGTGTTGATATGGCAGCACGGAGCATTGTCGTGTGTGAAAAACTTGTCGCACCGCGACGAATAAAATTCACAGTTCACGGACAGTGCAAAAGGAATCATTTTGAAAAGGGTCATCAAAGAACGGTGCATTTTTCATTCACACTGTGCTTATTGTCGCGCAAAGACACTTGTCTACCGCAAAAAATGTATAATACATGTCAAGACTTTTTTGGCCCGCCTAGTATACTACTGTAGACATGTGTTTAATCAAATTTTGTAAATCAATCAAGTTCTCATCGTTAACTTACCGTGATCTTGCGAAAAACATCCGCGACTCTCGACTCAACGTCGAACATTGCTAACTTCTCCTCCACTAGTTCCTTTGTCACCCACATTTGGCGTAGGCAGTCAGGCAACAATGCGTGTTCGTCCGGTCACTAATTCCTTTTAAGTCTCCAAAAACTTTCACAACAACAGGCCCCGTATCAGCGATCAAAAAAACGTCAAAACAAAAAATTAGCAGCCCTTCTTCGGAAATTTCTCGAACACAACGACTCGTCGATAAAAAGCCGCAAGGTGGTGTTTGCCCGCTTAATTCGGAGAGCGCTGATAAGAATAGAAATTGTCGAATATTTTAGGAAGGTTCGGGATGTTTTGATCTTTACTATAGGTCGTTTTGGAAGTACATAGTGATTGACATTGGGCCGCCGGAAGTAACGTGACTTGAGCCGGTGTTTTGAATGATTTAGGAGTAAACAAGCCTTGGATAGGTAATTGTGGAAATGATACAATGCAGCGGGCCCTTGGATCGCTCGAGACAACAAAATCAGTCTGTCAGGAAAATAATGAACACTTTGTCGCATCGAAAATCGCATCACCGCCAAGAAAATGAACTGTGTCACGGCAAAATCAAATTTCTTTTCACTTCAGCGACGTGCTTGGCGCAGCGACATTGTGCTCATTATTTTCCCGACAGACTCATACAACAAATATTATTTTTTAATTTTCCACCCTTAGGGTTAGTTGTACAAAGTTTCTTCAGTTTGGTGCATCACGGAAATCGACAAAGACCTGTGTATTTTGAGCGCCATTAAGTTTTATATGTTTCTAAAATTGATGTGCTTCCTTTGAGAGTAAGCAACTTTACAGGGTAGAAAATACAAGGTCATTTATAAATATAATAATAGTCTTCCCATGGCTAGAAGCGTCGTTATTAATCACCGGCAAAATGCAAACCGGCCTGAAATTCTTGAAATTCTCAGTAGTAGCTAACCTAAAAGCAATGCTGCTGATTGCAGAGAATTTTTAAAACGTTTTGCACCAAAGGCTCTATTAATCCATGAAACTTCTTCTTTGGTAGTTTGATGCATTGTTCTGCTGATAAAATCAATGTTGCTTCTTGGAAGTTGCTATTTCATCTGAGGACATTGTTGTTGTTTTTTGGACATGAAATACTTTTAGAGATAACTTCTAGCGGAAAATCAGTCGACCGCTGGGCCTTGGCTACTCGAAAAATCAACGGATTACCAGAACAATTAAATTTCACAACTATATACTTCATTCGGAGACCATATTCATTGACAGCCTTTACTGTACGAACTTTAGTTGTGCATTGGTTTTACGGTACTTCTTGGCGATTTTACGACCCTTTCCCAACCGAACAATCTCATTTCTCCCCGGGACAAAGAACGGAGTTTCTGCTACAGGTTATCTTTAATTATTTCACGTCCAAAAACAACAACATCGTTTTCGGACCAAAGAGAAACTTCCGCAACATTGGCTTCGAAATCAGTGGAATAATGCATCAAATTACCACAGAAGATTTTTGATTTCTCATGGATTAATAATGCCGTTGGTGCAAAGCGGGGTAAAAATTTTCTGCAAAAAGCAGCAGCTCTGTTCGTTGGCTGCTGCTGAGAATTTGGAGAAAATTTAGATCGGATAGCGATTTAACGAACCTTCTAGCCATGGGCAGATTTATTGATGTCGCCAATGCACGACGGATGTGCAAAATTGAAAGAAAATCTGAGCGCCGGAAAGGTGTTTGTTGTCTTTATGTCTTCACCGGGGATGAAGAAAGGAAAAATTATAGGGCACATCAATTCAGCGTAGTTGAACTTATTACCTGGTCAAAATTTAATCGCTGGGGCGTTTCGTCACAGAAGGGATTTTGCAAACGACCTTTGGATGTTTTTTCTTGGCTGGCCAGAGCAAGGACTTGCTTTGTGCTCGCAAATCAGCGTGCTAAATGTTTTTAGCTTTTTAGGATCTATTTTTGTCCTCCAAAAGTTCTTCCGAAAGGGATTTTGATACCTAAAATCGTAGTCTTCCTGTAGTAACGCCGGCGTCCCAATTTTGGCCGTTTTTCTTGCCAATTTTCTTACAAGGAAAGTACTTTTATGGGGGCTCCTACTTTTTGACGGGACATATCTCAAAAAATCAGAAAAAATGTGCTGATCAAGGATATATAAATCCTAGCTGCCCATTTTGGGTTTTTTGGCATGTTTTGGCCGTCGAAAGTTTTGAAATTCGCAAGAGGAAAGAATAAAAGACGATTTGAAAGGTAGGGAAACCAATGAGTGAGTGGCGCAGTTGGTTGCGCAGAAGACTGGGGTTTGTGCGGAGGGGGGTTCGAGTTCCCTTTTGTGATTTTTTTTTTATTTTTTGTATTTTTGCTGTAAAATACAAGTAAGGATGTTCAAAGATAATTTAAGAGGCTTTTCGAAATAAAAAATGTTTTTTCTGGCTGTTCAGTTCATCTCCTACGGAGATTTAAGCCGAAGCAGTAAACTGACAATATCGGTCAACCATCTTCTCACCTTTCAAGGGTTCGGTTAGAGTGCATCTCCTTGTATATTGGGGTCTGGTCGCAATTTAGCACACAATCGAATGGAAATTTTTGCATTTCGGCCTTGACTTCATTCACAAACTTTTTTTTTCCTCGGCCGTGAGGGCATTTTTGCGTTTTTTGGAGGCGACCCATCGGGTCACTTGTCTTGAACATATTTTTGTTTGTTTTTTTAAGTTTTGAATAAAATTATGACTAGCTTTAAAATTTTTTAATCCCAGATCATTAGCTATTTGAAGTGCTTCACTGCGGATCCAGGAATCATGTAGGATCTTTTTTGAGTTAATTTGGTCCAAAACACGTTTTTTGAGGGAAAATCCGAGGGTTCGAAAATTGGACCTCAGTCTACCTTTTAACCCCCCAGTTTGTTCAAATTCTCGAAGTTTGTCCAACTCTTTCTTTTTTTTTATATAGCGAAAATGATGGTTTACCAATTTTAACGGGCGACAACGTTGTGTCTTTGAACCTCGGTAAAAGTTTAAAGCTTTACTTGCCTGTTCCAATGATGCGATGCCTCCGTCACTGAGTTGAACTTGATCTTCTGGTGGCAAGCAATCAGGTTCGTCTTCTTCCAAGTCTTCATAATCCGGATCACTGTCATAGTTGTCAGTTTCAACTTCGGCCTCTTCATTCTCCTCTTCTAACGTCATCCCATTCTTACATTGTTCAATACAATACGCAAACCGATCCGCCATCTTCTGTTCTTCTCTGGTAGCGGCTTTAGCATCCCCAACACCATATTTGTCCAACAATATGGACACAACATTTTGCGGCGAAAATTCGGACATTTTATGACTGCACGTCACAGGGAAATGAGTGTTTCTTGACACCCTTCCGTGATTTTTTGGCTTCGTTTATGTTTTTAAGTCGCGTTTTTGACTTCTAATTAATAGCCAACGGGAAATGAAAAGCCTCAATCAATGTTTTCTAACTTTATTTTGTATTTTTCAGCAAAAATACAAAAAATAAAAAAAAATCACAAAAGGGAACTCGAACCCCCCTCCGCACAAACCCCAGCCTTCTGCGCAACCAACTGCGCCACTCACTCATTGGTTTCCCTGCCTTTCAAATCGTCTTTTATTCTTTCCTCTTGCGAATTTCAAAACTTTCGACGGCCAAAACATGCCAAAAAACCCAAAATGGGCAGCTAGGATTTATATATCCTTGATCAGCACATTTTTTCTGATTTTTTGAGGTATGTCCCGTCAAAAAGTAGGAGCCCCCATAAAAGTACTTTCCTTGTTAGAAAAAGACACCCGCTCATACCAACAAAAGCCGTAACACTCAAACATTATTATGAACTTCACGGGCTCCACGCGATTCCGGAGTCCGTTGGGTTCCTCTAAGGTATCAAAGGGGCAACCCCTTTTGATCTCTCTCCCAATGCCGACTCCCAATGTCTACGTTGATATATTTATTGATGGCCGTTTCGTACAATACAATGCTAGAAAAGAATAAGCCTACGTCCTTGCCCAGTAGGCTGCGCGTTGCCGTTGCGGGACCAAATATGGGTCTGGGCGCGGTTCTACTCATTCCTGCCGTATGGGTTCCATAGCACACCTTGATTTCCACCTATGACCAAACTTCCATCCCACTTGCCAATTGGAGTGCCACGCGGAGGGTAGTTTCGAAACTCCGACGGACTTCCGAGTCGACTCCGGCTTGATTTCCACCTTTGACCGAAGTTCGGCCGAACGCTTTCATCCGAATTGCACCGGAAGGCACTGAAAAAAGTATGGCAAAAATTATTATAATCAAAATATTACCCGCTAAAAACTCACTCATATACCAATCAAACAGATACTCCTAGCGTACAAAAAACGAGTATCAATCAAGACAACGAAAACTTACCAAAACGCCCGTTCCACCTTGAAGCGACCATACCAGCCAACAGTCAGCAGATTGGCAAAGTCCCATGCGCTCTTCGAAGCACCAGTCCGCCATTCAAAAGGTCGGCTTGCTCTCGTCGACCTTGATTGTTCCAGAACGGCTGCCGGACGACCGAGCGTGATTTCCACCTTTGACCCTGGTTCAATTAAACGCCTGGCCAGCTTTGTTGGGCCCTAAATGAATGAATGATTAATAATAATCAAGATAAAAAAACTGGAGCCGCAGACAATTCATTTCCGCGGCAGGGGAAATGAATCAATGCGACAGAATACCAATACTATCATATTTTCCTGATAGGTTTTTTGTTGCCTACTTTCACCCCGGTCTAGTCTATCCTAATGTTGGCAAAGTCCATTCAATACTAGTCTTTTTGGAAAGTCACTGGATTGATTACGGCGACATGCACTGTGCAAAAAAGTCAGGATGGAAGCGACAGCCGAAAAAAAGCCAATTCCACAGAACAAAAAGCAAGAAATTGCACAGCGCAAAGTGAGCTTCTTTTTTCACAGTGCATGTCGCCGAAATCATTCCAGCGACTTTCCGAAAAGACTAGTGTTGAATGGGCTGCTAAAACAATTCACAAAAAGGAGGGCTCTACGTATTTTATAATACACAAAAACAGACTCGTATTTTGCCTTGCATACAAGAAGGGCAAAGCAGCCCCAAAGTTACGCAAGCCTCAAAACTAAATCAAAATTTTTGCCAAATTAAGCCGGCTTAAAACTAAAACTAACCTTCAAAAAAATCTCCCCCGCACTTACCAAGCAACAATGGGCCACCTTTTGATAAGGCCTTTTCCCAGCCTTCTTCAGATGAACCACCGATCTTCCCGCGATGAGCAAGTTCAAGATGCTCGGCCGGCGAAGGGAACAATCCGACCGTCCATGGGGTCTGCGGACACGCCGACTGAGCAAGAAATGGGAATTTTGGCTCCATGAAAGGTTGGGGTTGAACTTATGCAAATTTGTTTTGGGGAAAAGTTTTGGGTTTTTTATGGGAAAACTTATTCAAATTTTTTGAAAAAAAAAATTTTATGATTTTTTTATTTTTTATTTTTTTTTTCAATTTTTGAAAGGAAATTTTATTATGCCGCAATCAAATCCAGGCCTAAACTTGGACTTACACTTTCATCAGTCTGTCGGAAAAAAAACGGCGGATTGTCGCAGCGAAATGTCTCGCCTCACCGCTGTCGCGCACCAAATCCCAAGCCGCGGCTTCCAGTCGCACAGCGATGATTGGCGATTTCGAGGCGCGACGATCCGCCGTTTTTTTCCCGACAGACATACTTAGGACTTTTAAAACCCCGAATTTGTACTTGAGCTTGAATTTTTTTTGTTTTTTGGAACCTAAGTCGACTTTTTGCTTTAGCTGCGCCCGAGGCCCTCAAGTACAAAGGCTCAGCCGAACGTTTCTCCACTGCCAGTCGAAAAATCTCAACCTTTAACGCCCCGTTTAGATGAAGCTCCATTTTGTTGTGTTGTTTGCACAGACGCCATAAATTACGCAATGTGACAACCGACGTTCTTGAGTTTGTTTTATTGAGACTTTCCCGCCGGCAATGAATCAGTTGGGCGTTTTGATTCTGCTCTCTTGCTCTTTGATTCAGGCCAAAGAGGAGTTGAAATTTGTCCAAGTCGTTTGGCGGCATGGAGATCGTGCGCCCGGAGATTTGCCCTACCCAAAGGACAAGAATGGAGAGGAGAATTGGCCCAGAGGCTGGAACCAGCTAACTAATGTAAGGGAAATCAAAAATTGAGTTTTTTTCTGATAAAAGGATTAAAAATGTTGTGTAACTACTCTCGAATTGCGCTTTGACGTCTTCGGAAAAACATTTGCAAAACAAAATGTGATTTATTGCAACAAAAATTGATGAGAAAACAGCTATCATAGAGTTTTACAAGCATTTTTTAACTGGTCTAGCAGGTAAAAAATTTTCGTGCGTAAAAATTCTATTTGCTATGTATTTGAATCAGTCGGGAAAATAATGTAGATTTGTCTCTTATTGGTGTCATTGCGTTGTGAAGGTTAGCCGCGGCTGGAAATTTGATGCGGCCCACGGGAGAATTTTTACTGTGCAAACCCACATTATTTTCCCGACAGACTGGTATTTTCATTTTTCAAAAGGTGCGACATTTTGTTGCGGTTCTCACTTTGCACAAAAAACACCTCATTTTGCACCGTGCACTCCACATTTTTTTGGGTTCTCGCACAGTGCACGGACCATTTCGAACTATTTCGCACTGCGCTATGCATTTTTGAAAAAAATGTGATGCTTAAAAAAGAGCTACAAGCACACCTCAATGATAACATATTTTAGGAGGGAATTCTCCAACTCCGAGAGCTTGGCGAGTTCTTTCACCAGCGCTATGTCGGTTCGTTCCTGAAGGAGAGTTTTCATCATAAAGAGGTATGCAAAAAATTCTCTTATCACTATCCATTATCGTTTCTCAGGTCTACATCCGCTCCACCGACAAAGATCGGGCCCTAGTGAGCGCACAAAGCATGCTGAGCGCAATGTTTCCGCCAACGCAGTCGGAGATGGCGATCAGTGGAATGGCCTGGCAACCGATTGCTGTTCATGGGGCTGAGCCCGGCGCTGAAGATCCGGTAAGCGATGAACTGAACAGCAAAGCATTATAGCTTTGATCTGAAGAGCTATTGAAACGTTGACGAAATTTTTAGCTCCTAAAACCGACCAAGTTCAAATGCCCCGCCTATGACAAGATCTACAAGCCCCTTCGCGAGGAGAAAAAGAAAAAACTGGGTTTGAAGTACTACGAGCTCTTCAAATTCTTGGGGAACAACACTGGTATTAGCAATTTCACCCTGGATGACATCAAAGCCGTTGAGGAGATCAACAAAGAATTTTATCATAAAATTCCGCAACCCGACTGGGTTTACCAAAATTGGCCAAAGTATGGGGTAAGACGAGAAATGTGAAGCGATAGCACCAAATTCAGGGTAAAACAACTCTGGAGCTGATCATGGAAATCAACATTGAAGAAAGAGCGGTTCGTTTTAGCACAACAGAGCTGTCGAGACTTCGAGGCGGATTTTTGTTGGGTGACTTTATGCAAAATGCGAAGAAAGCGGGGAAAGGGAAAATGAAGAAACCGAAAAAGATGTTGCTGTATTCTGCGGTAGGTATCAACTGCTTCTGGGTTTGAGACAGTGATAAATTGGTTATCAGTCAGTCGGGAATATAAAAAACTGTCGCATCGAAAATCGCAACACCGAAGAGAATGTGAATTGTGTCGCGACAAAATCAAATTGCTTTCCACTTCAGCGAGGTAACTCAGCGCAGTGACGTTTTGCACATTATTAGCCTGTCGGGAAAATAATGTGGATTTTTCGCGCCTTGGAATCGCCCATTATCGTTCTGTGACGGCAAACCGCGGCGATTTGGTGGGCGACTGTGGCAAAACGAGATATTATATTTTTCTGCGAAAAGTCCACATTTTTTCCAACCGACTGATAAGACGTCCATTAGGGCGTCGCTGAACGTAGCGTAGCAGCCTGTGGGGAAAATAATGGGCACTCTGCCGCTGCGCCCACCACGTTTCTCTTCAAAAAAATTTTTAATTTTGCCGCGACACAATTCATTTTCTCGACCGCGATGCGATTTTCAAGGCAATAGAGTGCTCATTATTTTCCCGACAGACTGATATCAGAGTGATTACAAATAACTATAAGTAACCAAGTTTTTCAGCACGAAGGAACTCTCCAATCCATTATGAACGCGTTTGGATTTGAAACCATGACCAAAATCCCGTATGCTGGATGTTTGATCATGGAAGTCAGAGGGAAGAAAAACAAAGCAACAGTTGAGGTAAGAAACCATAACCTTTTATGCCTGAACCTTGCAGTTTCTATTCTACGGCGACAAAAAGTTAACCCCTCTAAAATTGCGGGCCTGTCAGGAAGTTTGTCCGTTGGAAAAGGCCGAGAAATTGATGGAATACAGATCGATAAAGGACAAGGTCCAGCTTTACCAAGATTGCGGGAGATTCCATTGTGACGACGGTGAGGAAAGTGACGATGATGAAAAGCCAAAGAAGGGAAATACGAAAAAACGTTGAAATGTATTCAAAACATGGCGTTTTGGAAGATAAAGTCGCATTTATTCTATGATTTTGCTTATGATGACTAAAAAGGGAAGTACTCAAAGTGCAACACTCAGATTTTGATGAAACTTGGGGCAAAGTTAGATTAATTTTTAAGACATGCGAAACTTTTAGCTCGTGATTTGTAGAAATTATCGAGATTTTTACGTCGTAACTTGGCATAAATTTGTCATTTTTTTGCAATTTTTTGGCTTACAATTAGAAAGTTCAAGGCCTATGCCTGCAGTGGAGCATCTGTTCCAGTAGAAAGAGCGCGCCCTTCAAAGCAAAGCTTTTTCACTTGGAGAGGGAAGCATTTTGCCACATTTTTGATACTTCCCGGATGCAAAATGGTACGTTTTTTGTCACTGGATCAGGTCCGCCACAGCACAGACGACAATTATTCCTCAAAAACGCAATTTTGCTTTGAGAAGCCGGCAAAGGCAGCCCAAAGAGTGTTCTTCTCTCTCCGCATTTTTTGACCTACTCTCCCAGCAGTAAAAACCATTGAATTTATATGCGACCTATGTCTGCAAAGTTTAAAAAAAATACGAGCGTCGCGCTTGAAAACCTTTACTTGTAAATCAACAAGAGTCATTGTCGATTCCACTAAATTTCCCGCCTTCAAAGTTCTTCGGCTCTAACGGACAGCACTCTCCGGAGCTTGTTCTTGGATACATCATCATCCGATTGTCCTTCATCTCATAGACTTTGATCAACTCGCTAGTGAAATACGCCCCGAGAACTGCATATTCGGCGAAGGCGGCATCAAAGCTCACAAACGAATGACATGAAGGAAATCGCATAAAAGCTGCGTGAAAATTGTAGAGAAATGGGGCCTGCCACAGAAAAAAGATAGTAGAAATTGCTTTGAGGTAAAATATTATTCGGTCGCAGTGATTTTCAATGGTCCTAAAGGTTCCCAAGAGACCGTTCAGTGCGATCGCTGCCGCAGCAGTTATGATCCACGTGGTGAATGCGACTTCGTAAGCTTCTGAAAGGATCTTTTTCATGTGAGTGTCAACGTGAGTGATGATAAAAAATATCAGTTTGTCGGGAAAATATTGGACAGAGTGCTCTCATTTTCCCTAGAGACCATTACAACAATTCTATGACGATCTAAGAGGCGTTTTATCTGCCTGTCGGGAAAATAATGTGGAGTTGTCGCAGCAAAGTATCTCGCTTTGTCGCAGACGCGCGCCAAATCGCCAGCTCCGCTAGCCGCCGCAAAGTCATGATGAGCGATTTCAGGCCGCGACAAATCCACATTATTTTCTCGACAGACAAATAATGAGCTCGATATCGCGCCGTTGAAGTGAAATAATAGGTGTTACCATGACACAATTCATTTTCTCGACGGGGATGCGATTTTCGTCGCGACAGAGTGCTCATTATCTTCCCGACAGACTGATAGCTATATAGTAAAGTGGTCTGGCGTCCACAAAATCATAACGCCACGACTTCGCAGACTTACTGGGCATATCCAAGATGATATGAATGATTGCAACCAACGTCAATGCCATTACATCGACAGTAGAAAGCAACAACGCCAGCAAATTCAGGATGCGATAGCTGAGGTTTTCGGGCCGCAGATTAAGTTGCAGGTCATGGCTAAGGAAAGGAAAACACCTTTAAAAATTTACATGTTAGTACTCACAAAATAATAAGATTGATGGCCATCCGGTACGGCATACTTAGACAGCATGCCAAGCGGAACGAGACGTTGTTCCAGACGTAAAGAACGGCCCGTCGAAAGATGGAAATGTATTCCGATGGAATATGGGCGTCCGTATTCTAAATGAACAGTAAGCGACGTCTGCGTGTATGTTAATCTGTCGGAAAAATAATGAGCACTCTGTCGCATCGAAGGTCGCATCACAAATGAATTGTGTAGCGGCAAAGTCAAATGTCTTCTCGCTTCAGCAACGCGATCGGAGCAGCGACATTGTGCTCATTATTTTCCCGACAGGCTATTACACTGCGTTCAGTGACGTCCTAAGGGGCGTCTAAACAGTTTGTCGGGAAAATAATGTGGATTTATCGCAGCAAAATGTCTCGCCTCGTCACGGCCGCGCACTAAATTCCAGCTGCAGTCAGAAAAAGCATCCCTGGCGAGAATAAAAAAAAATGAAGGTGGAATGCACGGTGCATGTCCGGGGTTCGAAAAAAGGTCCATGAATTTTATGAAAAGACTAAATATCAATCTGTCGGGAAAAGAATGAGCGCAATGTCGGTGCGTCAATCGGGTCGCTGAAGTGAAAGAAGTTTATTTTGTCGCGACGCCGAAGACAATTAGTTTTTCTCGGCGGTGATGCGATTTTCGATGCGACTGAATGCTCATTATTTTCCCGACGGACTGATATACTATATATAGTAAAACCCATCCGAAGTGTTTTCCCGGCTCGTTTCGACGCTTCGCCCATCGGTTGAAACTTTGACACAAAAAAAAATGTTCTGTGTGGTTTTCCGATGTTTTGCGATACAAAAGAATGCTCATTATTTTCCCGACGGTCTGATTCAAATATTACGCCTAACATACATAACAAAATGCATGTTCTTTTCCGTACTGATAAAACAGTCTCTTTGGTTCGAATTTCTCAAATGGATTCCTCTCTTCCGGCACTGGTATGCCAATCGCGAGTAAAGTAAACCCAAAAAATATCGAGTAGTTGACCAGGAAGACACTAAACGTCTAAAACAACGTCAACTCTTTTCTCACTCACTGTATCAGACTCAGATTCAGGTAAGCGATATCCTCGTTGTCATCCTCCACCCTATGGCGTTTTGAGGCCATCAGTTGTGACAAAATTAGCGCTTATCGTAGTAATTAATAGTTTTAATGTTTGTAGTGACAGTCAATTGAGTCTTTCCGAATTAGCGAATACGACATTGCTTTGTAGAACGGGTAAGATGACAAGAGGGCTCGAACGGGTTCTCCTTTGACTGTTTTTGTACATGCCGAGATAAGAGAGTAAAACAGGAATTGATGGTTTTGATTAGAGGGTTTCGTCTAGGGCGCCGATATGATCATTCAAATGTTTTTGCTGTGAGAAGACGCGCGAAAGATGGAGAGTCGGCTAGACAAAAAATGTTTTTAATTATGATAGTTCAACATTTTTCGCCGCAAAAGTTTTTTGCTTCCAAGCGGAAAATGTTTCAATGTAATATTACCAGTCTAAATACTAAGGCTCAATGTCGCTACGTCGATCGCGTCGCTGAAGAGAAAGGAAACTTGATTTTGACACGATGCAATTCATTTTCTCAACGGCAATGCGATTTTCGATGCGGCAGATTGCTCATTATTTTCCCAACATACTGATATGCACGTATGGACAGGAACTACTGATTTGGAATAAAGACACACCATATTCCTTGCTGAAACGAAAAATCCGGGATTCTTTGTACTCGCCGATCATATGTCGATCAAAATTTGGCTGAGGCGAGACATTTTGTCGCCATAAATCTACATTATTTTCCCGACATGCTGATATTTTTTCGACATGCTGATAAGAACCGTCTGAGCTTGTCACTGAACCTACTCCAAGAAATAAAAAAACGGCCAGGCCGGCCCGACTCAAATTCGTTTCGGACCGGTCTGGGAGCCATGTCTACACCTTGCAAAACTCCAAAAACTGCAGTTTGCTTCTAGCTTGGTTAGTCATCAAAATAACCCCATTGTAAAAACAACCCTATACACAGTCACATTTCCTTGCAAAAATCTTATGAATCTAATTCCAACCATTTTAATGAGCATGATCCTCGTACCACAAAAGTATTAATAATTTCCAATTTTACGATACGCTCGATAAGGTTCTTTTACAACGAACCACCTTTAATGGTGAAAGTTATAGTCTTCTGCGTTTCCATTGATAAACTCGTTCGCCGAAAGAGTCATTCTCGCCCATAATTTATGTCATTTGCGGGGTGCAAAATGGCTAATGATCTTGGGGGTTCAAAAAGGTGGGATCGAAACGTGGAAGGGCTGAAAAGTTGGGAAAGGTGAATGGTATTTTGGAAGACGAATTTTTATCTTTTTGGGCAATGTTTTTATTGTTCTTTGATGATATACTTTTTTTGGTTCGGGACTTATAAATCATTGTGTGTCCAGAAAATCTGTCACGATGACATTGGCTTAAAAATGTCAAGGTGTTATGAACAACGGCTGTATACGGCTTGGAGCGCTCATTAGAGCATTTCAAAAAATCTATGGCCTTACAAAGGTTAGCAAAAAAATCGAAAAAGTCCAGAAAATCCGTCATCCCGTTGCTCATTGCAAAAGTTTGGAGCCAAAATTTTCTTGTGGGCTCTTGGAAGTATTCCTGGCCATATATACAGCCGTTATTTTTACCAGTTCCACATTTAAAATAAGTGTCATCGTGATACATTCTATCAAAGCATAAGAATTTTTAGCCCGCGATAAATGTCCCAGTGTTATAAAGGGCGGATGTATATGACTAGGAGTACTCCCTCAAGCACGTCAAGAAATTTGTGGCGTTGTAAAGATCCTAAAAAAATCCAAAAAATCCGTCATCCAAATCGCTTTTTGCAAAATTTTTGAGCCAAATTTTTTTACAGATGGCCTAGGGAGTATTCCTAGCTATATAAAGCCAACATTTTTAATACTGGCATCATTAAAACGTATGTCATCATGACATATTTTCTGTACGTATACAATTACACACAATTTTTTAACTCCCGACCAATACATGGTAGATTTTCCCATCCAGCGAACGGACACTAATCCCTTTATCACTTTGTCAAACCCATCTTCAGCTTCCGTATGAGTAAACAAGCCGTCAGTGGAAACTAGAAGTAAGCGGGATTATCACGTGAAAAGCGAAGAGAGTTATTGTGACTTGCGTGGTGAGCATAAAGGCTAAACGTTCGCAATGTTCGGGGCAAACAATGTCAAAGGGAATGCGGAGTCGATTATGATTTTTCGACGATGACGGGTGTTGTTTGACGCTTTGTTTGTTGCATTGTGAGGGCGATGCTTCAGAGGGATTGGAGGGGGGTTTTTTATGGTTTATGTAAAAGAAAAGAGGCCAAAATGCGGCCTCAGACTTTGATAAAATTTTGGCTAACAGGGGTAGTACCCCAAGTGCGACGCTCAGATTTTCTTTAAATTTTGCGGACACGTCGGGCATAGACTAGGTGTCAATGCCAAAAGTTTTAGCTCGCGCTTTGCAAGTTCCGCCGAGATATTGAGCAATCTTTGCCGCCGAGAGAGTACGCTTAACTCGGAGAGCGGTCAGAGAGAAGAACACTTTTCGGCCATAACTTTGCCAGTTTCACGCGGAAAAAATTTATTTTGTAGAAACATTACCCCTTACGGTAGAAATAGGTATGAAAATTTCCGTGCCAAAATTCGGCAAAAAATCCTAAATTTTCGCCGACTTTCGATCTAAAAATCTCGGTTGTTTCTGTAAAGCGCGAGCTAGGATTCTCGCATATATCTTAGAAAACGTTATTCTAAATTTGTGCCAAGTTTCATCGGATACCCTGAAAAAGGTAGCAACAAGTGCCTACAAGGGCTGGCAAGCCGTTGGATGACCGGTGACTCTGCGAAGGCTCGGCGGAGACTCTGCGAAGGCTTTTTCCAATTTTACAATTGAGCTGTTTAAGTCGAAAGTTGCCAAAAATAGGGAAATTTGTTTCTGTGAGCTTTGTCACGAAAAATTTCGTACCTATTTCTACCGAGAGAGTGAATTTTCAACAAAAAAAACTGTTTTTTCCGCACGAAATTGATAAAGATATGACCAAAAAGTGTTTTTCTCTTACCGCTCTCCGCATTCTTCGCACTCTTTCGTTATCAAAAATCTTTGAATATCTCTACTATCAGCTGCGCCAATTTCCAAATTTAGCCGCAGAAATATTCATTTGTTCCCACAAAATTCCGTAAATTCTCATCGGATTGTTGTGACCACCGTTATCAACACTTTTCGCTCGTTGAGCGAAAGTCTTCCGTGCTCTATGTGTACAAAAAAACCGATAACTTCAATTGATATGGAGTACAACTTGCGATAAAGAAGTTACGCCACGAGATCAACATTCAAAAAAAGAGCAATAAAACGATTGGAGTTCTCGGTACGATAATGAAAGCCATTCATTTTGTGTTTGCCAAAAATATAGTAGTTGTTGTTTGGTTTGAAAAGGCACACAATGGCGGTGGAGGTGTGGTGCGGTTGTTGTATTTGTTGTATTTGAGATTTGATTTGTCGCGTTTTTTGACAAGTGAAATGTGGGAAAATTTCTTATACCAAGATATACGATATTTTTGCAGTCGATCCAGCTCTAAAAAAGCTGAGAATATGTCTTTTGTATCACTGAGCCTAGTTCGGCCTGTTAAGGTTAGGTTGGTGCATAATTATCCGGCGTTTTTATTGCCTTCTTACAGTGGACGTCTTTTGGTATTCCCTTGGCGAAACACCTGGCGAATTTTTTTTTGTTCCTTCGCCGAAAAGATCGTTGAGATCGCGGAATGACCGTGCTGACTTCCAACTTTTCTGGAAGTGGTAGAGCATAATACGCGAATATGAGTATGGTTTTCGACAGTCATTTTATTAACTAAACAGAGAAGATCATTTTTACAAAAAAAGGTTAACAAAACGCGAGTCTTAACTAGCAAAAAACGCGCCAATAAAAACGCCGGATAATTATGCATCAACCTAAGAAAAATATCCTGGATTTTTCGCGCCTTGGATCATCGTTTTGGCCAGTCGCGGCTGGACATAGGGATGAGAAATTATGCTGCTACAAGCCCACATTATTTTCGCGGCAGGCAGATATTACTCAATTTTCTAACAATAAGGCATATGTTTCTAGCTTACCCTTTAGCGAAGCGAGAGAAATTAATAAATAAAGAGTTTTCAAAAATGTGACTTTTTTGCAAATTTTGATGCAACAAGTTTCATGTCTATTTCTACCGTAGTACGGAACCAACATTATCCCTTCTCTTCTCGATGTGATACCGCTGAGAACGAAAATCAATCTGGCCTGTAATTTGTCACACCCCTCTATAAGTCTGTCGGGAAAATAATAAGCGGTCAAATTGCTTTTCACTTCAGCATTGTGCCCATTATTTTTCTAACTGACTGTATGGGGACTTGATTTAGTGGCAAAAAACGTACCATTTTGCATCTGGGAAGTATCAAAAATGTGGCAAAATGCATCCCTCTTCAAGTAAAAAATTTCGTTTTGAAGGGCGCTCACAAAAAAAAAGCGAGCGCGCTTTTGAAATCGGAGTTTTTTCACTTGAAGAGGGAAGCATTTTTCCACATTTTTGATTCTTCCCGGATGCAAAATGGTACGTTTTTTGCCACTGGGATAGGTCCCCCACTGTAGCCTCCTTTCTTAGCTCCGAACAAACAAAGTTTAACGTTTTTTTCCTAACTGATCTTTTTTTGAATTTTCAACAGCATCGCGCTACAATCAAGCGTTGTTTTGTTCCCATACAAATGTGACTTTTTTGCTCATCACCAATCGATACCCCTCGTACATTATCACGTTTTGACTGTTTCTAAACTTTTGATGTTTGTCTGTGTTATTGAATGCCCCACCGTGCAAATACCATGAGTATTGTTGCGTGGAAAGGTCGAAACACGCTCCGTTTTGATCTCAAACTTTGCTGATTTCTGGATTCCCAACATCAAAGCTGCAGTCACATGTAGCGCAGATCTCGTTCACGACGCGAACACCTGACAAAAGCGTTGCGAAAAAATTCCTCGCGCTCGCCGAATTAGTTGAGAAAACTTTGTTTTCGACTGTTTTCTTTAGATGTTCTCTGTACCCCAC